ACACACACACACACGATGCGCAAAACTTACGCATTTGAACAGTCCATAGCAAATACTTAAACTAATAACAAAACAGTAGCTAAGCCTAATTTAAATTAGGTATGTTTTTTAACAAAACAGTAGCTGATTCAGAAGTGCCAGATTGTCATAGCAAAGTCAGAATTACTTCCTCTCCTAGGTTCACGAAACGGTCGTCCATAAAATGCATTGCTGTTCTGTTGTAAGTAATCTTAAAGATTCCTAAATGCATCTACTTTCGGAAGGCCAAATAAAGTTATTTTGCTTTCACCTAGAAACACAAAGCATCTCCCTGACATGGCTGCATCAACACTAACTGCGGTTACTGAAACCACGCCTTCTTTCTTTGCATGCACATTTGGGCGGCATTATACTAATATTGCCACATAGTGAGGTAGACATGTGGGGGCGTGTTAGAACGAGCCGTTTTAGGGGGGCGTGGCAGAGTCTTAACTTTGATAAAGAATATCTCTTTGGTTTTGAGACTTTAGTCTTTGCAACTTCAGGGATCTTATCTATGCACAATCAGTTTGTAACACTCCAAAGAGAAAGGAAAACTTGAAATAGCATCATATGACCCCTTTAAGTTCTGTCATTGCAACACACTTACACGAAAAGTTATGTCAAAATGCCCGTCTTGGAGACCATTCATGTAAATGCAGTCGGTTTTGTCTTACATGAACTTGAACAGTTGGGAGAAATACAGATGTGTCGAAATATTTGATCTATGCGTCAGATCTTAAAGCAACAGCATAAACCTGGAGCTGCCGACTGCGTCATAAATGTTAATCAAACAAAAGAAAAGGAAAAAATCACTCACTGCTCTTGACTGAATCACTTATTAACTTTAATAAGAATCATCTATATTTAATGTATACAATGAAGATTATTTTTACATTTATCACTTCATGAAATGTCTGTAGTAGGCTATTTCTAGAAGCCTTTACTAAGCTACTATCTATTTTGAGTAATAGGCCTATATTTATTTATCATTTATCTTGTAATACTTGGAGTGTTTACTTGCCTTCAGTAAGCTTGAGAATGTTTTATTACATTAGTTTATTATTTTTTGCTTTTGTATTAGTGGCCGTTTCTATCTTCAAAGAAAAATCGTTTTTCTAACATCTTTGCAGCAATAGTTATGGGTCCAAAATCACCTTGGGTGTGCATTATTTTCTAATAATTCAACGACCCATCATCAATTATTCCTTACATAATGTAATTTATTGTAATTAATGTAACTATAAATGCATTCAAAAATAAAACAGGTGTGAGAGTTGCCTGTGACTTGTGGAAAGTATATGTAGGGCTTTTATACACAGTGTGTGACATTGTACAGACTAGGTTTATCCCTCACAGCCTAATTTTCATCCAAGAAAAAATTCTAAATGCCCTGTCTAAGGGGTTTATGTACTTTGGCATCCATTCATTTAAAAAAAAAATGTTAATCAAGAAATTTAAATGCAGTTTCTTCTTTAATGGTTCAAACACTGATGAAGAGAATAAGCAGACAAAAACTAATTTTGATTATTCAAAATTCATATCTCATTAAAAATCTTAAAAATCTAGCGTAGCGTTAGTTCTGGCAGGTCACGTTAGTCAAGCTCGCATCAGCTGACTCTCAGCTGATCCCCATCAACCTATGGGAATACGACACCTATCTAAGCATTCATATATAAGGTCCCTCAGTATTATCAGCAGTTTTCCGCATTGCTCAATAGCTAATTACCCTCCTCCATCCCCAGCTCCTCCTCTGTCAGTCAGGATTCAGTCTTCTGATTCTCCTTTGAATCAGACTAATTCTAAAATGTGTACATAACATTATTGAACTTTAATGATATCTGCAATGACCGCATCCAGAAACGCTTGGGTGATACGTTGTCTATAGCAAGACCCACATCGTCTTCAACGTCGTCTTTAAAAAGACGCACCCGAAATCCTCTTTTAGGGGAAAAAGCTCTTTTAGCGTGCTGAGGCACACAGGGGAGATGATCATCTACAACACAAACAGGGGGTAGTGCAGCCTGATGTGTGCAACCCACTCGACATGGGAAACCACCACCGCTGAAGCGCCGTCCGCCAACACGAAGAGCTCTCCAAGAGCATGCTGAACTCATTCAGTCTTCTTCTCTCAGTAGAGTAGTCAGGAGCAGAACGATGTGATCACTCGGCTCCGAAGCGAAAAGCTGAATATGCGCTGCATCTGCTGCCTACTTATACTCACGCTGTGATCAGCAGCAGCTGGATGCAATAATCGCATGCCAATGTGCATTGGCTCGTTTAGTTTACACTCGAAGTAGATTGGTCCCTCTAAGCGAGATCCCAATTTCGTCGGTCATCCGACGTGACGTCGAGAGTGACCGACTGAAAGGGAACAGAGGTTTACTGTTAAATTGTTGTACTGAAAAATTGTTTGAGTATTTTTAAAATAAAGTTTTAATAATAATAATAATAAAGTTTTCATGTGTATCTGGCAATAGTAGAAATTATGAAATGCTGCTGAAGTATCTCTGAGAGCAGCTCTGGAGATGAAGTTCATGTGTTCATGTCCTCACGAAAGACACATGTGTTTGAGTTTGTGTAGTGGATTCCACAATTCCATCCATGTTTTCCACATCATGGAAATCATTGGAATTGATTCTTTATTTTATCTTACCGCTGAACACCTGAGCAGAGTTTTGTGGCCCTCCAGTGAGTGAGAGGAGTAGCCTAGCCTGGCTGAGCTGCAGAATCAGGTTAATGGGGTCCAGATCAAGAGACAGCGGGACTGAGAACAGCAGCCCTTCCTGATTCCATGTGCGGAACTGCAGTCGCACAGAGAGACTCTCCATACTGTAATCTGCGGGGAGCATCAGGAAGCTGCCAGTGGAACTGAGGAATGTCACAGTGACTGAGGAAGACTCAGAGCATGAGAATGTCACGTTGCCCTTTGTAAGGAAGAAGGAGGGAAGAAGATAATGAAAGAAAGGATGAATATGTGGAGAGGAGAATTAAACCCAATGGATGTGTGCTGGTAGTTGGGTTAAAAACACAAAAAAGTCATTTTTCTTTTACCTTAGCAAACAGTTTAACAATCTTTAGATCAGCATTTTTCATCCTGGGGTCTGTCTCAAATAGTCTGAAGTTTTGCAGAATAACTAGTGAACAAAAATCTCATTGCAAACAATATGATAGAGTGCAGCTCTTCTTCCAGAGGTTCTGTACGCTCTGTATTTAGCATAGACATGCCAAAAAATTATTCACTAAAGAGTTTAAAGGCTGGGACAAAACAAACATTTTTTAAATCAAATTTAAGTTTTTAAAATCAAATTTAAGACTTTTTAAGACCTGCACATACAACAATATTGTATGTTCATACAGAACAAACCCAAACAATCTCAAAATAAATAATCAGATTCAATTTGACTAGATTAATTTACTTAATCAAACAGGCACTCATTTAACTGCATAACAGGGTAGCTGCAAGTTGAAAATACTCAAGACATGTTTCATTAAATATATACATTTGGTTTATGTAGTAATATATCAATACATGTGAATTAAAGGTTGATCAATATTGTATTTTGCTCATTTAACAATAAACTGTTTTAAAAAAAGGCAATAAACAGATTGTGAATATTGAATGTGATAAGTAATCGTGTTAGTCTTTATGCATTATGCATAATACTGTATAAAATATCACCTTTTGAAGTTTAATAATCACACACTGTATATTGATTCCTGTTTTCCTCCAAAATTAATACCTCTTCAAATGATAATTAAGACTTTTGGTGTACCATTTAAGATATTTAACATTTCTTGTGACCTTAAAGTTGATCAAACTGAATTTAAGAGTTTCAGGACCCAAGGGTATCTTGATTTTGATAAAATCATCAAGTTTGAGAAACCTGCTTTAAGGTGGAGATCAAAATTAGAGAACAACCTATAATTTTCAAAATTTCAATTTGAAGTTATCCCAACAGGAGTAGGACATTTTTTAAGCATGTTTGATAAATTAATTGTATTCGGAAGCACAGTAACAACCTTAAATGAGATATTTGAAAAAGAGAGATCAAAATTATAGAACACTTAGAGATACGTCCAAGTTATTGAAAGCCAAAGGGTTGACCCTTTCCGCCACTGCAAGAGAAGTTGGTCGTTCCAAATCTGTGATTTCTCGAATATTGCAGTTTTACATTGACACGTATTCATTAAATTCCCCCCAAAAGGCTGGTTGTCCGTGTAAGACGAATGCAAGAGAAGACAGGATAATGCAGAGACTCTCAATGGGGAATTGGTTCAACACTGCAGCTGGAACTGTTTGCCAGTTCAGTACTGAACAGGGTAAGGATCTGTCTCGGCATGTTTAAGAGAAGTCGAACTGAAAGCGCACTTTGCACTCTGTGAAGTTGAATTTATTTGGGTCTGATGGGAAACATTTTGTTCAGCATCAAACTGAAGAAAGACTGAAGCCCAAGTGTGTAAATAAGTCAGTGAAAGATGGAGGAGGAAGTGTCATGGTTTGGGGGATGTTTTCTGCAGCTGAAGTTGAGCCTCTTATACAGCTACACGGCAGGGTGAATGCAAATCTTTATCAGAACCTCCTTCAGCAACATGCAGTTCTTTCCCTGAAAGCATCTCTCAATCAGCCTGCAATTTTTCATGCAAGACAATGCCCCTGTCACACTGCAAAACGGGTAAAGCAGTTCCTTGAAGCTAAGAACATTAAAATAATGAAATGGCCAGCCCAGAGTTCTGATCTAAAACCGGTTGGAAATTCAATTCGACAACGTTGGCTAAGAAACCCACTACAGTTACCAAACTGTGGAAGAGAGTGGAAGAAAAGTGGACAAATATCACATCAGCTAGTGTGAGAAACTATTGATATCCTGCAGCCGCAGATGTGCTGAAGTCATTCAAAGCAAGGGCCTCTACACTTCCTACTAATTTCTGACAGCTGTAACCATCCAAAATTTTAGTTGTAATCTTCTTTCATGCTACAGTGGTTACTGTTCTCTAATTTTGATCACTGTGTTTTTCACAAAACAAATGTTTTTGTTGAAATGCCTTGGATATGTTGTCTAACATGTTAATAGAACAGTGGTATACCTACAGCGAATATTCCTTCAAATTTTGAGCGATGAAGATTAACAATATTTCAGAAAACAATCTAGTAAACAATCTTTAATGATGAAACATTTGATTGTGTGCATGAATGCAGTGGTGCTGTGTTTAATTTAACTATTATTTTGAGGACCTTTGAGAAGTTAAAGTTCTCAGATCGTTTTGAAAGTGTAATCTACATGAAGAATATTGCATACAGTTGCTACAGTTTTAATCTGCCTTTTCATCACAATTAATAATCATAACTATAATATCCTGCAGCCCTAAATTATATTTTACTGCAACAGCTTATTGTATAAATAGTAAATAACTATAGCACTGCATGCACATTATTTAATCAGTGATGTGTGGAGCGCCTCAATCTTTGCATGGACTTCAGCATGTACTCTAGTGCAAAAAGCTGGTGAGATCTTTATCTTAAAATGCCTCTGAAAAGAGGGAGGGAAAGACAAAATAAAGATCACTATGTGACACTGCTCTTCTTTTCCTGTATGTGATTTTCCTGTGTATTAGACCAGCCAGAGAGAGCGAGAGAGAAATGGACAAAAGGAGAGACTTCACAGCCTGTTAATTAGGGAAAGAGAGCTCTTTTTATGGTGCGATACACACAACTACAGAAACACACTTTAGATACTGTCAGGGTTTGTTTTGGGTTGTGTTGGTGTTCATGTATTTTGCTTTGTATTTATGATCTTAGTTTAATTTCCTGGTTTGTCATGTGTTCCTTGCCCCACATGTGATCATGTTCTGTCATGTGATTCCCTTGTCTGTGTGTTATGTTCTGATTGGTTGTCCTAGTCATGTGTCTTGTTTCCCATTGGTTTGTTCATGTCACGTGACCCTCTTGTCTGCTATAAGTAGCCATCATGTTCCCATTGTGCTTTGTCGTGTATTGATGTTGTAACCCGCTGTCGGTGAGTCTAGTCTGTGTATATTGTTTGGATGTTTGGATCACACTTGTAAATAAAACTGCACTTGGGTTCTCACTACGCTTGCCTTCAGTGGACTGAATCGTTACAGAATACACGACAGCATTATGAATCCAGCAGATTGTCTTGTTCGCCTCCGTCAAGGTAATCGCTCCATTGAAGAATATGTGGCAGACTTTTGTGAACTTTACTATCAAGTGGACTTCAATGATACTTTCTTAAAAGACATTTTTCGTTTTGGTTTAAGTAAAGACATGCCACATTTAATGCCACGTAATACCCCACACTGGTCATTAGAACGGTATATAGACTTTGCTCTGCAGTTGAGTGAATCTGCTTTCACTGTGGGTGTCATGGAGGAGGAACATGACACCTGCGAATGCGGAGCTTGGGCCAAGACTCAAAAGACTGATTGCTAGTGTGATGGACCCACCTCTGATGTCGGTGAGAGCTGCAGGTATCCCGGTGACGTCAGCGCTCTCAAGCCCCGCCGTCTTAGAGGTCCTGCCACACTCTGCTGCCCTTCCTGTAATGGCGGTCACCATTTTGAGCGTGTGGGCTGCACACTGCGCCCCAGAGGCCTCTCCGGTCCGCGAGTCTGCCCCAGAGGCCTCTCCGGTCCGCGAGTCTGCCCCAGAGGCCTCTCCGTTCCGCGAGTCTGCCCCAGAGGTCTCTCCGGTCCGCGAGTCTCCCCCAGAGGTCTCTCCGGTCCGCGAGTCTGCTCCAGAGGCCTCTTCTGTCCTTGAATCTGCCCCAGAGGCCTCTCCTATCAACAAGTCTGTTCCAAGGGCCTTTCCTGTGCCTGAATCCACTGCAGAACCTCCAGAGGTGGTGGCATCCGCTGCAGAACCTCCTGAGGTGGTGGCGTCCGCTTCCAAACTCACAGATTGTCTTGTCACGGCCACGGAGGCCATTCACAAACTCACTGTCTGCCCTGTCACGGCCACGGAGGCCGTTTACGAACTCACAGACTGTCTTGTCATGGCCACGGAGGTCGTTCACGAACTCGCTGTCTGTCCTGTCACGACCATGGAGACCGTTCACGAACTCACTGTCTGTCCTGTCACGACTATGGAGGCCGTTCATGAACTCTCTGCTTGTTCTGTCTCAGTCAAGTGGTCTATCCATGTCTCTGCACCGCCATGGCTCCCCGCTCTGCCATGGCTCCCCGCTCTGCCTGTTCCTCTTCACGGGCCTGGCCCTCCATCCCACCCCCTGGACCACCTCCAGTCCTCCACCGTTTTGTGGTGTTGGTTGGGGTGGATGTTACATCAGGGCGTCAGGAGCCGCCCTTAGGGTTTGTTCTGGGTTGTGTTGGTGTTCATGTATTTTGCTTTGTATTCATGATCTTAGTTTAATTTCCTGGTTTGTCATGTGTTCCTTGCCCCACATGTGATCATGTGATTCCCTTGTCTGTGTGTTATGTTCTGATTTGTTAATGTGTCATGTTCTGATTGGTTGTCCTAGTCATGTGTCTTGTTTCCCATTGGTTTGTTCATGTCATGTGACCCTCTTGTCTGCTATAAGTAGCCATCATGTTCCCATTGTGCCTTGTCGTGTATTGAATGTTGTAACCCTCTGTCGGTGATTCTAGTCTGTTTGTGCCTCGTCAAGTCTGTGTATATTGTTTGGATCACACCTGTAAATAAACCTGCACTTGGGTTCTCACTACGCTCGCCTTCAGTGGACTGAATCGTTACAGATATACACACAGAGCTACTGTAATTTGCCAAGTGACACTGTTGTAAATTGCTTTAGATATAAAGGCCTATTGTGTGAATAAAATTATTTCAATGACACAATACAAAAAATGTCAACAAAGCTACACTTTTCTGAATAGTGAGGTTTCAACTCACAACCTTGACAGAGAGTGAGATTTGATGGCCTTCAAACTCGCTGGTGCCATTTGATTCTCATAATTGATGGGCATGTTGAAAAGCGATATTTGCAGTTGTAAAAGTTCATGCTTACCACTGTATAGATCTGCGGCTTCCGTCTTTTTGCCATGTCTATAACATTGACGCCATTGTAGTTGAGGTTTTCTATGCAGCCGTGGAAATTTTCATGGAGAAACGTCCCAGGCTTACCAGGCAAAGGGATTCCTCCAAAACTGAGCTTGAATAAGGACACACAAACACAGAAACGCACGCACGCACGCACACACACACACACACACACACACAACAACCACATATCCCAGAGATCAGTAAAAATACTGTTTTCATGGCAAATAATAGTTTAGAGGACTACTTTGTGGGCCTGTTTTACCCAGCTTTAATAAAATCGATAAGTTGATTGCTGTATTTTCAGAGCATATATTTAGTTGGGCTTTGATAGTGGTGAAAGTGCACTTTTGCTTGTTTTTTTGAGTGCTGCACCTTGATAATAACGGTACAAAGTATCAAATAGGCACTCACACGCTCCATGAGAAAATTATATACCCTGCTGCCTTTGTCAATATTGGAAGCTCTTTAAAAAAAACAAGGAAAATAAAACGGGGTATATACAGGAATCATGGAGTTCAATTTAATACATTTTAAGACCTTTTTTTAAGACTCTTTCCATACATTTTAAGACCTCATCACCACTCCAAGTTTTAACCGGTTACATTGGCGACACTTTAACTTACATTTACTATACATTGATTGTAAGATTGTAAGTGCAACTAAACAGACTTACTTTGTGATAACTCCTTATCAATACAACATAATTCAGAAGTGGGGAACGAAGCACTCAAGAATTAATTGAGTGACTAACCAATGCAACCCAAAAAAACAAGAATTAGATCAATAAACAAAACAACTGACAAAACTTTTTGAGGAGGGAAAATAAAGCTCTCCGAGCTAATGAGGCAATGAGTTCACACAGTATATTCAAAAGATGTATGTCACATCAACTCAAACCATAGCTGTTTTGTGGAACACTTCTCATGACAAACACCTGATTGATCAGACAGTTTACCTGTGATTACAGAGTGCTTGATTTGATGCAGACTTGCCAGAGTGTCAGTACTGCACCTGATCATGTCTGAAAGATCATGGAAGGGAAAATAATGATCACAACTATTACATCATTTTAATTGTGCATCCCAAGCCCATGCCAGTAAAAAAAGAGCAGAAGTCAGATTTGACTAATCACGGGTCAAAAGTAAGGAGAGATAACTGACAAGATGTTGGAGGATTTGCTCCTCAACAGATCCCGAGCTCATTGACAAATATCTTTTATCGTAGGATGTGCTCCCTTTACAGTGCGTACGCGATCGCAAAATCGAAAGTGAAAGTGAAAGTGAACTAAGGCTGTGAGCGCTCATTCAAAGGGGATTTAAATACACCCCATATTGATAGTGGCGCCCTGATGTGCAAAAATTATATACAATATTAGAATGTTTGCGGGAGCAGACAAAAAAATCATGGGAGCGTGCGGTAATGGTCAGAAATTTAGCGTGAGCAGGATCAACAAGCCCCGCGCTATCAGGCAGCGGCGCAGTTAGTCAGTGAGCGCCGTAACAGGTTAAGTCAAATCTTGCCGGATTCCATAATAAAATATACAGAAACCCACTATTCGACAAATATACATAATGAAAAGATTATACAAAATGTAATACCTTGGAAAATGGCATTTAAGACTTTTTAATACTTTTTAAGGGCCTTAATTTTCTCTAAATTGATTTATCAACTTTTATTACTTTTTAAGACCCCATGGACACCCTGTAAAAAATAGAGAGAGGGGAAAGTGGTAAATATTTCAGCTGTTTGTAACGAGGTTAATCTATAATAAATTGCATCAATTTTAATTCAGTGTTGAACCCATTACTCATTTAAGCGTGAATGAATAAAAAATACAAAAACAGGGGATGTGCGCTATAATGGTTGAAATAATCACTTATACACACAAAATAATAAATGGGGGATAGGAAGATAGGGTGGAGGTTAAAGAAATGAAGAACTGAAGGTGAAAAGGACAGAACCAAAAATAAATGTGTAAGAAAATATTAAAAACAGTGATAGCGATCCAAGTATCTACACTACTCAAAATATAGATTTTTTTTAAAGAAACAACACTGCATTAAACATGTATGATGTTAAAAAAAATGCAATTTTCTGTTTCAAATTAATGCTGTTCCATTGAACTTTCTATTCATCACATAATCCATGCACATATAATGCTTATTGTGTCTGAACAATTACAGACATATCTGAAAAAGAAATATCACACGTGTTTGTGCTTTAGGAAGATATAATATGAAGCTATATTGTTAGCATGATGTTAGCTCTAAACTGGAGGATGATACAAGTTTGTTAAAATGGTAGG